TTACCAATAGGTCTGAGAGTTCGAGGAATGACTGCACTAGCAAATGCCCCTGAGAATGTACAACATCAACCATTCTGAGTGGCAGAGAAACCAGGACTGCCACTAGGGTAAAAACTAAACAAAGAAAAGAAGGTTGGGTAAAGATTTAAGAACGTTGTCTAAACTTGGCAAAACATGTCAGAACAGCATATTGAAATCTTACTGCTTGCTTATAGAAACTAGCATTGAAACCAATGAAGGAATTAAACTAAAACCCCCAACAGTTTAACATGATAAAAAAGAGGATGGAGGGAAGCTGTGTGGTTTTCAAATTGTGTACTTTAGTCCAGATGTAATGTGAGGAAAACTTTATGCACTGAATTCCCTGGGAAATGGTATCCTCTGCTTTGGGAGTCCTTTGTTCCTGATCACGCTACCAGACTCCGGGGTGCAGAAGCCATCACAAAAGATAGTCTGACTAGACTAGAAGATTGGCACATCAGATTAAGCTGACAACTTTTATTCAGGGCAGACATTTAAACCTGTGCCATGTGTAGCTTTTACAACCCTGAGAAGATCACTTACAGTGTCCCATTCTTGATTTACCACCTGCAGAACAAGAAGGCCTTACAGATATGTGAGTATATTTGCTGGAGCAAAGGCCTTGCCACAAGAGTACGATAAATACCTATCTAAACAAAGATTTTTAAACCTAGGAACCTAGATTGAGCCTGTGTATTCAGTTCAGGTTTCTGTTACATTCTAATGAATGGCTGTCCAATTGTAGAAATGCCTTCAAACATACAAATGTAGAATTGTAGAAATGCCTTCAAATAACAACATTCCAAAACCCCAGCTCCCTTCTATAAGTCTGTGTTTTAAACTCATAAAAACAAATTTCTGTGTATCTTTAGCTAATGTTCCACATGCATGGTTTTCTCAGCATTGCTCTGTGTCTGTTTGCAGGCTGGTTACAGGTTGGCTAGATATACTTAGCACACTCAGGGTAGTCTCTGACTTGTCTGGGAAAACTTTTTGATGGGGCAACCTGTCAATATAGAAATACATTTCTTCAATATGAAAGGGAAATTAATTGCAATTCTTTATCCACCATAGAGAAAAGCTGATAAAAATTTATTAACTTTTGTCTTTTCTGAAGTTGACCACTGCCTGCAAAACTGGTAGATTCAACAGCTAAGACAGACCAAGAAACAGAACAATGTGATTGTGCAACATTTTTTTCTCCAGCACTCTTGATAAAGAGAATTTAAAGGCAGGGAAAGAATTTCAATGAACATAATTGTCACAATTGTGATCTGACTAAAAGAACTACTGGTAAAGTGCCTGCTCTCATTTGTCTCTTCCACCCAACCCTGCTATAGCAAAGCACTAGAGAAACTAGGATGCAGTTCTGAAGTCAGCACTTGTAATACAGCTTTCTGATAGTACTGCAGTGAATGATTAAAGAAGAAATTGCTGTCTTTGTGACTGAAGCCTCTGTCTAAATCAGAAGAGAATCAGAATCTGACAGCTGTTTCTTCAAGATTATTCTAACAATATATCTGATCCAAAAAGAAAACACCACTTTTCTCATCAGCAAATGTTGCATTAAATCGGAAATGTAGAAAAATTCCAACTGAACTTGCCAAAATTGTGAGAGTAAAGGTATTTGCCTTAGGAAGAAAAATATCCACCATGTTCTCAGCACTGAAGCATAAAATGGCTGTTTTCCTTCCATCTGAATTTCCTGTGGTTTCTGGTTTTTTTTACTAAAAACAAAGTAGAAAAAATCTTGGAGGCTAAAAAAACCACACTTTCATATTTTTTTTCTTTTTTGAGGATACTTTGTACATAGCACAATCCAGATCCAATGTCACACTTCTGCTTTTCATCTGTGGAATAACACAGCCTGTATCACTACAAGCTGACTTTTCATTGCTAGGTAACAAAACCATTTCTGCTTGGCAGACTTGGTCACAACATCATCATCTCCAGGGACTGCCCCAATGCACAGGAGATTTATCTGTCATGCAAAGCCCCATCCTAGACAGTTAATCCTGAGGCGTTACTTGAGTGCTTACTGGGTGCTAGAGCCAGATTTGGGTGTTAGGAGGGAATGCCTTACAATAACTATATTTGAGAAGCCACAGTCTTCATTTGTATCTATAGTCATAATCACTGATTTGGCTTTTTGAAATGCTTCGTGTGACTTGATTGCTTTTAGTAGCTACTTGGCTTTAACTGCACTGGAAGCAGAAATACATTAAAACAGCAAGCCCAGTTGGAGCTACAAAAAACTGAAAAAGGTGCTTTCAGAACTTACCAAGATACCTTTGTCGCTGCTTTTTGGGCTCCTGTCCCAATGACTTCAGCTTGAAAGCATTAAAATGAGTTCCTTATACATGCTTTGCAGGTGAGGGGGTTTTTTGAGCTTTAATTTGCTGCTTGATTTGCCCCGGGATTTTCAGGTGTTGCATGAGGGAGTAAAGAACAGAAAGTACCTCAGTTCTTGGTTGTCAGCCATTGGATGATGGCCACAGCATTATTAAACCATCCAAGCATGCTGGGTCTCAACCACAAAATTTAATTTTCCCTACTGCAGGGACTAATCAACTACCAGAGGCACTAAGTCCTGGGGATACTGTTTTTTATCTGTTTTTTTCTCTTTCAAAGACTGAAACACAGTTAATTTTACAGTTTCGTCTATCCTCAGGCTTACAAACAATGACAGAAATGCAGCTTGATGAGAAGCAGATAAAAATTAGAAACTGTGCTTACACTATGACATAAATTAAAGAAAGATGAAAGGTTTAAATAATTAACAGCACCTCTAAAAGTCAGATAGAAAGACCCCAGATTCCCTTAAGTAAGGGAAGAAAAAAAGACTGAAAGGGGAATAAAGCATGCTGAATGCTATCTGCAGCTACCTCTTGCTTTATGTGAAACTGAGAAGGAAAGTTGGTTCTTAGTGTGATTGTTCATTTCCACAAAACCACCTCATCTGACAAACTAAATTTACATTTTTAAGTCTTCAGAAGGCATTTACAGTAAACACACATTTTTATCTCAAATTTAGTATTCCAAGGAACTATTCTCACAGATTCATAGTCATGGATTCACTGCATAATAGTTCTTTAGCTTCTTAAACAGTTTCTAAAATAGTGGGATTTTTTTTCAGGAAATCTATATGTATGTTCTCCACCCTAGAAATGTGACTAGGCAATTGAACCACTTATATTTCATTTATTATGAAGCATAGGGTTTCATGCTAAGAAGGGAAATCTGAGAAGGAAGTAAGGACAGCAAGGGAAGGAAAGAAATACTGCAGCTCAGCACAACCTTAGTATTAATCTATATTGTTTCTAATCATAGAAACTGTTTCTTGGAGTTCTTCCAGGAAAGGGGAGCAGGGGGGAAACTCCACAATGAAATAATGATACCTGAAAATCTACCAATACTGAAGATAAAGGCTGTACTATGCACATGTTAAATTTATCAGAAAAAGATGGTTGCAAGGAGCAGTTCACATGACTAAGAGAGAATTCCTTTAAAATGACGGCTGTTCAGGCTTTATAGGAAACATTAGCTTAAAAGAAATTTGGAAATAGAAGAAAGTTCCAACTAAAGAAAACAATTATAAATATTCTTAATTGCCTGGAAATAATTTGTCATACAAAATTGGACTGAGATACATTTGTACAAAAGCTTCAGATGCGTTGATGTTGTAATGCCTTTTAGGAGCCCAGCATATTTTTGCACAGTGTTCCAAAAACACATTACAGAAAAGGATATGACTTTCACTTTTATCTTCTGTCTCCCTTCCTCACTCCATTCTCCTCCACTTTTTTCACTTCACTTTACTTTTTTTTTTTTTTCATTTTGCAGGGCAGGGGGGGAGCATAAAATAACTGGAAGACACAGTAACTGCTACTCAGTGTGTTTTATTATTTCAGGAATTTGTTCCAAGATGGGTTGCAATTACATTTAAAACTTGAGAATAATGGGCTATTGACATGTATATAGTTTTAGAAATATAAGGCCTCATTTTCTCAGCTGGAATTTCCCCACAGTGTGCATTTGCATTACATTAGAGATGTTCTTTCTAAAAAGAGCATAGCATATTCAGACATTTTGACATTATCTGGGTCAGAGGCAACATTTAAAAGCAATAGCCTTACATCTACTGGGAATCTCTTAGAAGCACACACAATACATTAGTGAAAATGAGGGAAAAACTGAGAGGTTCTCCATATTAAGCTATAGTTTATGACATACCTGCCTGCACCAGACATTAATCTGCAGGAGATAGATTGTCATGGTCATGGTCCCCTGCTCTACTCCAATTGCATATACATTACCTAAATTGAAATCTGCACTTCTTCACACCATGTGCTGTTTGATGTGACCTAGAAATGGTAGAATGCATAAGCTTGTGGTTTTCATGGTGCATATAATCATCTCCATTTTCCGTGTATTTACCTACATATATAGCAGCTGCAAGTTTTTTCTTCTGGCTTAACAATGAGGACTTTATTTTCCCTTAGCTTAGCTGAGGTCTAGCTAGTTTGTCAGGCTCAAAATTGCATGGTAGTGGTTAAGTATATAAGGAACTCAGTACCTTTCTTGTTCCCAGAAGTGCCTAAGACATAATGAGAAAGGAATGCAGAAGTTTTTCACCTGTTATAATTGTTTTATAAAGCCCTTACAATGTATTCTTTGTCATCTTCCAAGAATGGGTCATTTATGATGGTAATGCTTACACAAGTGTGTTTTATGAATAGGAAGATCTGCATAATTGGTGCGGTATTACAAGTGAAAACCCATGGAGGCTGCACAAGATGTATTTAACTTTCTAATTCACCACCTGCAATGCTTCCAGATATCAGATGTTTAATTTGTCCTCCATTGACATATTCCATTTTAAATGAAAAGGGCTCCAAATCTGTACCACCAATTTGTAATTACTGAGTCATTAAAGCCAGAGTAAAATACGGAGTTTTCTTGCTTTTTTTTTTTTTTTCATGTCTCTTTTCTAGTATTTCTCTCCACTTCCACTTCCACCACCATCACAAATTTTCCCTTTTCAAATTCCCATATTTAAATGCTATTCCTCTCCTTCCTCCTTAAAAATCAGACATCACCTTTGTTTTTCTCTTGGATTTTGACTTTTTCTAATCCTGGCCAATCCCTAACACACAATATATCTCTCCTATCACTTTTTATGCTTTCAGTCTTTTTTCTTCACAGCCTCACCTCTCTTCCTGTTTTGCTGTTCATTCTACAGTATTCCCTTCTAACCAGAAAACCACAATTGTCAGTCGCTTTACCTCTCTCTTCCCTCTCTTTTAATTGAACCCTGGATTTTCTTTGATAAAGCAGTCCTTTATGATCACCTGTCCCCATTTCTCCTTCACCAGCTGGCAGAAGAATATTTATCTTGCATTCCAGTGCTTGAATTTTCAGCTCTTGCTTCCAGAGCTATTGAGCCAGCAGCCACCACAGAAAAAGCTTCTTAGCTGAACCACACATATATGCCAAATAGCAAATGGCAGTGCCTTGACTCCTGGAAAAAAAAAAGAAAACCCTAAAACAAGCAGATTTGCAAGGAAGCTTTTATAATCCTGCAAGGAGGACATCCCAGAAGACTGAAGCTTGTCATTCTTCCAGTTAGTTAAGGAGGCTAGATAGGACCTAAAGAAAGGAGAATTTGGGATGTCCTTTTCCCTGTCTCATCGGGAACTATAACTTTTCTTCCAAACTTTGCTCCAAAGTTCCTTGTCTTTGCAACAAACCTAAGACAACCTATTCCACTGCTTACATACAGCGTTGGGTTCCCTGCTCCACTGACACATGAGAAACTGTATCACAGTTTTCTTTCCACAAGGCAAAACAACCTTCACAGGTCTCTCCTTCCTAAGTGGAGAAGGTGTGTGAAAGTGGGAACAGATGGAGAAGTATTATTTTTTTTCCACAGCAAGTAGGCAGTTTCTGCTCTTTTCTTTTCCTCAAATTTAGCTAGCTGGCAAACACTGTGCTTGTGAACAAGCATTCCTACCAACACACTTGATTCCTATGCTTTGTTCCATTAGACAAGATAAAGTGCTTTTACTTTGCTCCACCATAAAATACCAACACTTAGGCTGCCAGGTTATGCTAGAAAGCACAAACTGCCTCTGTTTTTCATCTCTTTTTCTTTCAGGCAAAGTCAATCCCTGCTGCCCGACCCAGGTCTGGGAGAAAAAAACAATTTCCATGTGATTCTATTAGCAGTACTTCTCACTCCAATGCCTTTGTGATGAAAATTAACTCCTTTAAAGAACTTATAGACATTTAAAATATGTTTTTGTGGATTTAGCACATGACAATTAGCATTTTAAATAGCAATTGTGGCTTAAGATATCAGAGTGAGAAGCAAAGAGACCTGAGGAAGGAAAAATGCAAGGAATTGTGTTGGTGTCTAAAAAGCAGCAGGAAATGAAGCAGGAAGAGACAGTGGTGATTAAACAGAGACTAGGTATAGAAATTAAATTGCTCTTATCTTGGTAAAATTCTTTTTCAGATTGAGAAGGAAAATAAAATTATTTATTTATATTAAATAAAATATTAAATATTTATATTTAGTTATTGTTTTTATGACTTTCTAAACCCTAAATGAATTAGAAAGATCTGTTCATAAAATGGATACACTTTGGAAGGAAATTCCTTTGAAACTATATAATATGTTGTGTAAAAAGAAATTCTCTGATATTCCTAGGATTAAGATATATCCCAATGTCGTGGTTTTAAACCAGTAACAAACAAAAAATTACTTATTTCTTGCTGTGAGATATGGATTAGAACAAGAGCAAAACAGGCATAAAACTTAAAAGGAATAAAGAAAGTTTATTGACAAACCACAATAATAAGAACGCCAGAATAAACTTCCAGAAAAACCTTTTCATCCCTATCTACCCACTATTCCCTTGTTCACATGACAACAGAGACAAAAACTTTGGAACTTTGGTGGTTAAAACAGTCCCAATTCCTGCTACAGTCTTTTCACCAGTCTTTGTAGAGAAACAGAAGTTTCTTCCTGTTAATTTATGGAGTTTCTCACAAAAAACCTATTTTTGTTATAGTTTTCCATCGCTCTGATGCTAGTTTGTCAGAATTGCTATTATCAGAGCCCACTCCTCCCATTTCATATTACTCTGAGGTGTGTATGGGCCATGAGTCTAGGGATGTCATTTTAAGGATGAGTTATTCAAAGGCAAAAAGTCTTCTTCATCTGTTTCTGTGAGCTTCACCAGAAAACAGTTTTCTCATTGCCTCTCAAGGCTTCAAATCTCCCAGCACTTCACTATACCATAATTACTCTACTTTTTACTCAAATTTACACTTTGAACACTTTATTCCTCCCTACATACTTTATCATGAATTAAAGGAGTTCTTTTCAGGACTTCATTGTCCATCTCTATAGTTTTAACAGAAAGATATTTCAGCTCAATTAAAGCATCTTCTTAATTCTCTACCTTTTTTGAAGCTTATTTTCTTTCCTGTCACTGGTAGTTTATAAAGTCTCTTTTCATGTTGATCTCTCTGTCTCTCTCTGGATAAAAAGATTAATCCGCAAGTCTCATCTGGGTAATGAAAGAGTTAAAATCTTGCCCAGGCTTTTGTAGATGGTTCGGAGATCTCTGCCGAACAGGAGCTGGAGCCGTCTGGGATGGAAAGTTCTTCATAGCTGCCCTGGAGAGTATGGCTGTCTCTGCTTACTGCAGGTCCAGAGCCTCTCTCCTTCTTCACTGGGCAGTTTCTAGTGAATGTAGTTACAGCAAAACCTGCAGCCGAGCCAGAGATCGGCTCGGCCCGGCCCAGGCCCGAGGAAAACCTTCCCCAGGCCCCCCCATCTCCCGGCCGGGAGCCACTGGGCCCGGCCCCATCCCCGCCCGGCCGCATGGCCTGGGCAGGAACGGGAGGCCTGAAGCTCCGCCGCCCTTCACAGCCAGAAAACAAAAACCGCACCCAAGTACCCTGACTTTACATCTTAAGGTAGGGTTCACAAGTTGATCCCACTTTTCAATGGCCTAAATTGCTGTCAGTTCTCAGCAATGACCGATAATTGGTCAGGAGAAAAGACTCCAAGCAGTTCACAGCAACTTCAACTTCCTTAAAGGTAAAGTAACTCCATGACACCCAAACATACAACAAGGTTTTAAATTGCTGATAAGCAGCAATAGCAGATGATTTTGGCATCTGTATAGCAGGTAAATAAATATTGCAATATTTTTGTAGTGTAAGCAATTTTGTTTACAATTAATAATTGAGACTATTTGGAAAATTAATATGATCTGAAAAAACAGAACTTGAGTTCTTTGTCACATGTACTGTCTGATGCAGCAGCAAAGAAGTCCTGATCAAGATTAAGCAACATATCACCAAAGATCCTTGAGGATGATACTGTGGCCTGTCTGCTGTCTACTTTGTGCCTCATTCAGTGCTCCAGGAAGTACAATCACCATTCCTTCATGTAATTTAGCTCCAGGAACAGTTCTTGTTCCATTTAACAAATTTAACCTATTCCGTTTTTGTCTAAAAATTATTTCTTATTATCAGGTGTTTTCCATTTCCAAGTTTTACTGGCAATTTGGAGCTCACATATGCTGTCTTTGCTTGATTTTTCTTTCTTCCTTAGCCCCTTCATTGCTTTATCTCATAATGATTGGGACATTTTCTCTTCGATAATCAGTTACTGTTTCTTTTAAAACTAGAGCTATTTGTTATATGTGAAAGTCAAAAAATATGTCCTGATCATTCCTTAAGCATATTTATAAAGTAAAACTCCTGTTTAGGGCACAGGAAATCAAAACTAGAAGTGCTACAATACTTAGAATTTAAGCAGAGATATTCTGGATATGTTTAACTGCTTCTAAGACAAGCATTTGAGTTTCATTACATTACAGTTTGAGAATAGAAATTTTCACTTTTGGAAATGCAGATGCTGCTGATGCAGGAATAAGTTTTCTAATTTTTGACAAACCTATCTTTTATAGGCAGACTCAATTAAAAAAAAAAACCTAAAAAAAAATATTTTCCAAAAGAATGTGCCTATTTTAATGAAATTGCAAGTACAGGATGGTGTTTATTCTTTGAAATAAAAAGGAAATACCCCCAGTGAAAAACAACAGTTAGATGGGCTGGTCATTTACCTGAAAAAAGGAGACATTTACCTGATGAAGGAAGATGTGAGAATTCAAATAATGTCCATCTCATAAATAGCTCAGCTGTCTGGATCACAAGTAGTGGACGACTTCCAAACCAGTTCCACTGGGATGTAAAACTAGAAAATGCTGAGAGAATCAGCAGACAAACTTAGTTGCTGGGAAATAGGCAATGGAGTTGGCTTATTCTTTTCTGTGATCTCAATGACTCTGCTGACCGAGTCATTAAAATTATGTGTAACTGGAGAAGTCTAAAAATACACATAAATTAATATGGAAAAATTAACAATTACCAATGTTCCAATATTTATCCATGTTGAAATAACAAACTTCCTGTCTGACAAACTTCCAATATGCATGAACTTCATTCTAACATTTTGCCAAGCAATTCTTTATAAAAATTATTATGAAAATCACATTCTGTTTGGTATAAACTGTAACCACAAATTGGAAGTGCTGATACTTTCTGAAAGCCATGTTCTAACAGCTTTATCTAGATGGGATATTTCATTAGCATTACAGACATCACCCAATCTTGTAAACTTATCATCATTTTGAAAAAAATTTGCACACAATGATTTCCAAACCCTGGTTAAATCACTCTGCATTATGACAGTCAGCACCATTCTAAGGGTTTGCAGTGTAGCAAAACATTTGCAGACACTTCAGCTGAGGAGAAGGACAGGACTTCCTACAAACTGTAAGCCTGCAAGTCCTCTGTGTCCAGAGTTAAAGGCCTATTGCATTCTTCAATGGGGACTTCATGTTTCCCATCCAAGACAACCTTAAATAAAGCTGCCAAAAAAGAATCAGGCAAAGTTTTGAAGATACACATAGAAGGTACACATCTTTGTCTGTGTCTACATTTCTAAATCCATACACATGTGTATGGACATGAGTGTACAACATACACAAAGGGAGAGGAGTACAGCTTGTACTTTGAAAAATATCCTATGACTTCTCATTTTATCATATGATTCAACAGCAGGAGCCACTCCTGGAACTGCAAAGTGTCACAGGTTACAGTCCACTGCAGGTAAGAGCCACACTCTTAAGCTGTCCCTGTAAGAATTCCCATGTGAATAGTGAAATCATCTCTGATCACCTTTTCCCTGTTTTATAACTGATTGCAATGAAAAGCAACATTATTTATATGCTACTTCTCATACACAACAGTAAAAGTCTTTGAGCTTTACAATTGTTGGTCAAATAGGGAGCAGAAAACTTAGGAGACTAGTAAAAGAATAACACTGGTTATTATTAATTGCTGAAATTATGCCCTAGTGGAGGCTTGCAAGTAGTAGCTGCTAAGACCTCAAAAAGCAAAATGGGGAACTACTTTTACTGATGTTATTGAATAAATAGATAAGAGTAAAAACCCATCAGGGCAAGACTGTGGCAAATAAGTGTTCAGACAAGTTCCCCTAAAATTCCTGTCTCAAAAAATACTATGCATTACCTTAAATCCCTACTAGTGCGAAGGGATTTGATTTCCATTCAACTATTCCAACACCAACTTAATCACTGCAAAAACAACAAAAAGGTGCAACAGGAGTCTTGAATACCTATAAAGTGCATCTCAATGCACTTTTATGCAATAACCAGATTTGGATCTAAACAAAAGCAGACAGCATCTCAGTCACGCTACATGGAATCATAAGATGAACATTTATACTTACAAGTGTTGGTCTGATTGATTAAATGAGACTAAACATGAAGCATAAAGAACTACAATTTCAAAGTAGGTATGTCATGTCCCTCTTTAACAGTAAAATGATTAGACCAATATAAGTGTCTACATAAGGTCATTCACAAAATGGTGGAATACAAAGAAGATATTCCAGTCTGCTTCATATTCTGGGACTGATTTCCTACAGAGCCCTTCCCTAGCTGATAATATTTTAAAATTAAATCTTTAAGAGAAGATTGTATCTGCCAGACTCTGTAAGCACTGCATATTAGGTCTTCTTTAAATTGTATTACAGAAGAGGAATAAAACCAGATGGGAACATGAAAGTAGGTCTGTAGTTTTTGTTTGTTTGTTTGTTTTTAAAAAAGATGTAAAAGCCTTAGTTTACAACTTACATTTGAAGGACTAATATCAAAAGAGGTCTTCAGCCAAATATGATGATTTGGGCCCACATAGTTTCAACTGACCAGAAAGCAAGTCATCTGGAACAAGAACTGGAACCAGGCTAGAGCACCAAGTTTGGAGTATGCTGGTAAGCCACAGCAGGGACTGGATTAGACAGGGGATGCCAGGCTATAGTTAAGAGAGGCACCAAGAAACAGGTGTGCTTAGGATATGATCTTGTTAGACATAGGATCGTCATTAAGTTGAAGATGAACTTCAACCAGATGAAGAAATAAGGATTTTAGATGTGAAGCTAAGACAGAGTACTAGAATTGCCTTGTTGTGGAGAAGTTAGCTTCTGGAGTTCACTCGCTGTAATAGTGCAAGAGCAGGAATTGAAACTACTATGGCCCACCTGACCTACTGATCTATCAGGAGTTATGTTAAGATTTGTCTGGCTCCTAGAGGATCCAGGGCTGGATTTTACAGCCTTTATTAAAGGGTGTATTACTACACCTTCAGTGTTCAATTTTTTTTAATTTTTTTTTTTTAATTTTATTTTACTACAGAGTCTGCATTCAGAAAATGTTAAACAACTATATATCAGTCTCTGTACATCTAAAGACTTTACTCACTGTTCTTAAAATGATACATAGGCCATGTCTACCTAAACCCTGTAAAGATTTAACTCATTTCTAACTTATTCATTTTATAATGTAAGGAAGGTGATGTGAAAAATTAGATATGCCTGGCAAGCAAACATCCAAATTAGCAAAATTCACGACTACTGGTTTTATTATTGGTTTTTGCCCTTCTCTGTTTGTGCATTAGCTATCCTACTTGCCCAACAGAAAAGATACAGTATCTCTGGAGAAGAGCCATCTAGGTGTTACGTATGAACACTCTGAAAATAAACACAGAAGCAGTAGGTCATTTGGAGCTATATCTCATCCTTTACCATCTATGATATACCTCAGAGAACTTACCATCTCTGTGACACCTGGAGGACACATCTTTGCATAGCTTCATTTCTATCTCACACCTCCCCCAACACGCATTTTGTTATTTTTTAAAAAAAGCAGCTTGCATCCAGTTCTCATTTCCTCAAAGGAAAACTCAGTTTTCGTAAATAAACCTACACTTTCAATTGGAGCATCATCTTGTTGAGGGCATGTGTGCTGGTTTTGCATTAATTGACACTTGATGAGAAGAAGCCACCCAGGGAAATTATTTTTCTGGGAGGGTCTGCTAAGAGCTTCCCCTGTGCCTAACAAACAAACAATAGCTGGCTAGCTCTGGGAATTGACAAGCAATTGAACCATTTAGAAGCTGTGTTCACCTCTGTGAGAGTCACATTTTAAAAACAGGCAAGCCCAAGAAATCTCTTTCTTGGCTTTTGGCTTTGAAGAGGTAACTGGGTGCTGGTCAGGCCTGCCCTACGCAGCCTGCATGTGTTACGGTGCCTGCCACAACAAGATCCCAGAGACTGACCTGTGTCTCTGAGACCAGAGCACACCGTAGAAAATGCTGGTGATTTAAGACAAAGGAATGGGTTCTCATTTGGTACTCTGACAGCTGGTTTGTTGAACACAGCCTCAAATAGATTCAGGGACAATAATGAAGGATTGGGCTAAAGGCACAGGATTAAATACAGGGCAAAATGGGGCAGGTCTGAGGGTTGAGGTCCAATAGGGACGAGGGAAAGTGGTGCAGGGGCGTGGATAAAGACAGGGATAACGGGTGCAGCACTGTGGCAAAACAGAGACAATGAGGGTTAGGGGAATGAAAAGCGTTCTAGGAAGAGTACATAAATGGAAAATAGGGGCTGAACAATGATGACACCAATTTTCACAAACCACTAGAACACCAGAACCAAAAGGCACCAATATGTGGCTGCAAAAATCTGTGGGAACAAGGTTTTTCCCACCCTAATCTAGTGGGGCATCTCCCCTATCCTGGTGCTGCCCCCCTCCAGGTTCAAGGCACCCTGGCAACAGGCCCCTGGGCCTCCACATGCCAGACCAGGCGTGCCCCATGCAGCCCAGCTGAGATTTTCTCCCCTGAGGGGTGCTGAGCAGGCTGCCGAGCCCCTCACCAGGGAGTCCACTGGGCCCCGTCCTGCCGGGCCGCTGGGACCCCTTCCCAGTGGGGCTGGGCCCTTTCCCGGTGGAGCCCGCCGCTCCTTTTTTCAGCAGCACCGCTGGGCCGTGCTGACCAGGGGCTCTGCTGGTGCTGGGAGCAGCCCTGAGGACAGGAGCCAGCAGGGGCAAGAGGTGGCCACTGCCAGGCTGGGTCTAGGAGCAGCCATGTGGCCAGGACTAATCTAATGAGTAGCTTGAACAGAGAGAGATGAGAAACTTTGCCCTAGGGATAGAAGAAGAGAAGCCTCTGTTCCCAGAGATAAAAGAACTTTTCGGGTTTTTTATGCTGGAACAGCTCATACTTAAAATAGTACCCCATAAGTTGACATGGCCCTTGAAAGCAGCTATGGGGAAGCTGCAAGGCTTGGGAGGGACTTTGACACTGTGAACAGATTTCCCTTTCCCAAGTAGCTGATTCACTGTGACACTGAAGCCACAAGAGAACAGTTTTTTGTGGAAAATCTCCATGTCATGGCAAGAGAAAGTCCTCTCCCTACAAGAATTGATGAAAGACTGTTATAGAGGTAGTAACCAATTGAAAATCCCAGGTTTTGCCTCTACATTGTCCGTGGTGAAAAAAAAGAGGTTGTAGGCAGGGGAGGAGAAGTGTTCTGAAGGTTTTATTCTGATTCCTATTATTTTTTTTTAGTTCTGTAAATAGTTTCCGTTATATCTTCTATGTTTTCAGCCTGCTTTACCCTCCTCCTAATTTATGTCTCATAGCAGGAAATGAGTACTTACTTCTAGTAGGTGCACTGATGATTTTAGCCAGTGCTGAACTCACTACAGCATGGAAAGCCAAGGTGGGGCCAGGGGAAAAATTGCCACAAGATGTTTTTATGTTTTGAACAAACATACATAAAACTGGTATATGCTTCTAAGCAGAATTTGTCTCAAAAGAAGAGCACTGTGTTTGCTAATAAAGACTGGGGGATTTGCAGCCCTAATAATAACCAGCCCTAATCATCAAAGTCTTATGGGTCCAACAACATGAAGAAGATGTATCAGCTAGAGACAGAGAATCTCCTTACAGATTGTGTAATCAGAAAATGCGATTGAACCACAGGAAACACAAAGCAGAGAGAACGTGACAGAACAGATCCCCCTGAGGACTATTTAGCTCTGCTCCCTCTACAGAGCTGCAGTCACATGAGATGGGAGGGAGAGGGTTAATGTACTAATGAGTTTGACTTAGGGTGAGTTGGAGTGCCAACTCAAAAAGATGGGTAGTTTTATTTCTGAAATAGTTGTAATCTGGGTAATAAGATCTATGGTGTAGCTTCATGAAGACTGGCTAAATGCAGAATCTCTGGCCATCCTGAAATTAAGAGAAATTGTCTTTATCCTTTTCCACGAGAATGATTTTCATTCTGGTGTAATGAAAAAATCCTGTTCCAGTCTACAATCTATGATTTTTTGTGTATTCTACAATTATTCTTTTGTGTTTTGTCTGGCAAGTACTTGCATTTTGTCAGCAATGCTGTATTTATATTCCTGTTAAATATCTCTGTACCTTTGCTGCCACTCTATGATGAAGACATTTTTTTCCACCAAAGCTTTTGCTTGAACTCATATATTGACTACCTCTCATCTAGGCAGCTGGATCACTGTTTCCCTAGTGGACTGGGTTTTCTGAATAAAGAATATCTTGTCAGGCACTTTGTCTATCTTGCCTCTAGTGGGAAGGTGAGTGGGAGGTATGTCTTCACCCATCCCAGCCCTCTCAGATGGAGCTGTCTATGGGCTATATAACATCACTACGTAATTTACCTTTTAGCAATAATTTTAATTTGGATGAAGTTCATATTTTTCATGAGTTATTAGCTAACTTCAAAAGCAATAACTTCACAGTCCCCTCAAGACATAAGGACTATTACACAATTACAGAAGCTATCACAGAGGACACAAGGTATTTAACAACTTGGCATTTCCTAAGGTATTTTTTTTTTACATAATTTTTCTTCAGTGAGGATGAATCTTGACAGTGAGTAATTCACATTCAATATGTCCTTAGGAATAAATAGTTTCTTCTTTTCTATAAGCAGAGTAGCCTATGGAAGGGGTTGACAGTAACCAGCAAAAAGTTGTTTTATTGGGGAATGATTGTAAACTAAGAACTCCTTGCATTTCTTTCCTTACTGTAGTTACTGGGCTTTTTTTTCAAGAGAGCAGTTTGGCAATCCTGAAACTTTAGCCTTTAATTATAAATCAAAGAATTATCGCCTTATATTGACAGTTGCTATATAAAATCCATTTCTTGCAAGTTTTTAAGTGGTCCAGTGTATGAAATTTAAGAAATTGCAGTACACATAAATTAAAGGGTTTTATACTCGAGTCAATGACTTGCTTTTAGCATAATGCAGACAGGATACTGAAGTGTCAAGGTTGAACGTAACAGAGCTATAGCAAAAATTATTTTCATTTTTTCTGCTTCAGCCTGAGACAATAATTTACAGACATTTACATCTAGAGTGACAAAAACACTTTTAAGATTCTAATTGAAAGATCAGAAATAATACAGACATGTACAGTATTTGTGCATGGATTTACAAGTGGACTATCAGTGCTCTGATGAAGATTTATTAAAGAAGCCACAGAATTTCCCTGTTGCAGAGGCCAGAAATTACTCAGTAGTTAAGACCCCAAAATGATACTAACAAGGGATTAAGGCTCAATATGGGCTTTCAGTGAGTTCTGTCCACATTGATAACACTTTGCCAAATGAGAACTCAGAGAACTAAAAGAACTGCATATGTCCTTACTGTGTCCCTAAAATTTAGTGTGATTAGAGATATTAAAGAGAATGATGACTAGGATAATCTACCTGTGGAAATAAACAAGAGTTTGCTTCCAAAAGTGATGGAGGAGTTTGCTGGGTATGTGAGTCCTCATAGGCAGAAAACATTTTATTAGTAGTATCTCACTTTTCATTGCACCTGAATTTCTAACTGTCTATTAACAGTTGGATAGTCATTATGTAAATATGAATGGTGGCCCTATTCTCCACATTTCACTTTTTCTTTAATTGGCTGAAATTTGGCAACACGATCCTGGAACAATCTACCAACACCTCAATGACTTCTGGGATTTTATTTATTTTTTTGTTTTAATGTAAGAAAAAAGTGACTTCACATCCACTACACAGCTGTAGTAATATCTTATAAAAAAAAAATCTCATTTCTTGAAGATGGTGTGGAAGCATGGAAACTTGTTGGAATAATCCATTTACACAAATAAAGAGAAATGTATCTGTTTGTGTCTTTCCCTCAGAGTCTTCTGACATACAAGTCAGTATGACCTCCACCCTGGGCCCAGAGTTATGAGGTCTGTTCAGGGACATCCCCACCTTCTGCTGATGGTCCTGGGACTAACCCTTATGGGACTTTAGCTGTAGTTGGGGGATAGGCTCACAGCTTTGCCAAGGGCTTCCCCCAAAGTCAGACAACATGGGTCCTGGCCCCACAGCCAGTATGGCTTCATCCACCATTGTGTCCCATGGAGCTCCTTTCTCAGAGACTTTGTCCAAAAAGTGTCCAAGACACAGCAGCAGGTCACAGCCCCATGGGCTGATCTTAACCCACTGTACCCAGAGCAACCCCTTCCCTTCAGTTCAGGAAATGCTTTAATGAGGATCCCAAGAAGGGAACAAGATTTAATCAGTCAGGCAAGCCTAATATTGAATGCTGTGCAATGCCTTACCTACCTGACAGACACAGGTAGGTAGCCCATCCTCAGCAGTAATTTTCCACCCCTCTAGTATGGCCAGCTGCATGTCACCTCAGGCAGAGGGCAAAGAGCCATGTCTTAGGCCCCAGGCTCACTGTTCATTGCTCTGGAACAGCACCTTGGAAAGAGTAATGTCCCAGCCATTGCTGAGACTCTCTTGCTTAAGCTCAAGTAGAGTGGCCAGTTAGTCACCAAGGGCACTGACTGGTTCATGGAACTGATTATGGGAACTGGCTAGGAGAGAGTAAGTCCTTGTAGCCCACTACATGCTATCACTGAGAGTCTCAATTTCCAGATGACCAGGGTAGAGTCCCATGGAGCTTGTGAGAACTCCTGAACCTGTCACTTTGGAGTGGTACGTGATGACATGCAAGGGAGAGCACCAGAACCCTTGTGGAAGCCCAGCCGCAATTTCTTCTACTTACCACCCAGAGAGGAAGAGCCCATGTAGGTGGGCACCACCCAACCTCAATGTAGACCGTAAGGCGATGGGTGTGGGCAAGGGTCATGCTTCTGTTGTGTTGAGAAATGCCACTAGAATGACATTCATCCCCAGACCACTGCAAAGGCAGTATTGTTGGGAGGCATCTGCGCCAGCACCCTGACACAGTGCTCTTTGTCTTATCCTTTTGGGACAGAAGCACTGTCTTATCCACTGTGTTGTGGATTAGATAGTTTTGTGGCCTCCAAATATGTATGAATGTCCAGGTGCTTACTTGTCTGCAACACACATTACCAAGTTAATTGCTATGCGTGGGAACTGCGGAGATACTCTGCCTGCAGTAAGCTGTGGGACCTGGACAGGCAGAGACTCCTGTTTATACCCCTCTACACGGTTATCCTCAGGCTGCCTTGGCTGGAGGAACCAAACCCTATCACTAACTGCTGGTTGGGATCCTTGTGCTCATGTGTCATTATCCCTAGCTCCTTATGGTGCCAGCCCAGTCTTTCTGCTTTCTGACTCTGAAGAGTTTCTTTGCCCTCCAAGCTTTGGATTTAAAATGCATTCAGTGAAAATAGCAACCAAAATTAGATGATTGTCCTCTCACTATCACTCATTAAATAGGCTCTTGGGTTTTGTCCTCTTTCCAAAGGATAATTTACTTGTCACAAAATCACACCTTCAGATGTCAGTCTTCTCATTGAAAAAGACAGAGCTGAAAGATCTTGGAGAGTAAAGTGCCATTTCGCTGTAAATGTTCCATAAAGACCGAGCTCCACAAAAGACATAACGGTATTCTGACATTGTTGTACCTGTGCTATACTCGATCTACGGATATGTGGCAAACTGGCGGTCTCTGAGTGCTCAATTTTCTAGCTTCCTTAAAGAATGAGAGGTATTTTAAAACTTGCAGTGGTGCAAATTTATCACTCTTTCTGTCCAGTAACTTTGTGGGCAATTATTGAGGTCACAGAGCTTATACACCATTTCTTCCCTTCCATGCAAAGGTTAATGGACAGTTTTCATCTGGTTTTAGTGTTGCATGGTGACCACAGCAGAGCCTAGCCTTTGACCAGCGTGTGTGTACTCCCTGAATTTAGCGCTTGGTTTCCTTGGCACACCATATCAACAAAGAGCTTTATGAACCTTAGACAGAGATAATTTACAGAGTGATTTTCTCTGAAATTTTCAAAATTCCAAAGGAAGGAACAGAAAATTCTTAGACCATGTGCAAAAAAAAACCCCCAAAAAACCAACAAAAAACCCCCCAGAATATTTAAGTTGAATATTGATATGAACCTGCATGTATTTATAAACCAATAGTTGCATCTCAACATGTTTCAGTGTTTTTTCCAGGTAGCATCAATATTCAGTCAAATGAGAACTTAATGGTTAGCCTCTTTGAATCTCACCATTTCCATGAGGTAAGTCTCTAAATGGTAAGAGATGGTTCTTTTACTCATTTCCATAATATGTTTTCTTCAGCACATCCTCCATTTCTTTAATTAACCTTTCCTCTCTGGAAGTGATTTTCTTTTCAAAACCACTACAGCCAATTCTATATGATGGTTGTAGCACACCTGGAACTTTGTAGCACACCTAGAACAGCAAGTGTTGTACTACAGTCACTGAGACTTAAACTTGTGATTTACTCATATCTGACATTTTTTGCTGCATGAGCACTAGACTCAGACAAAAAAAGATGGCCAAATGCCTGTGACACACAGAATAGACAGAAAAATAACATTACAGATCTACAGCTGACATGTATATCTATGGAAATGCAAGGTGAAAATCTGATGCAGATTATGTAATTAGGTATCTAGTTGTATGCAGCTGATAAATATTCCTACTCTATACACATACACAAAAATTATTCCATTTTTTCTACTATAAAATTCCAGGTGAGCAGATTTGTTAATTGGTCTCTAGTCTCACTGCTATTTAAATTTTGGTCAAATAGCATTTATCCTCAGAAACTGGTGTGCTGCCTGGTTTCTGTTGAAAAAAATTGAAATTAATTTGAACAGTTTTCTTAGCTGCAAAAAAACCAAAAACATTTTATTCTCAACAGATTTTGAATATGGTACTATTATTTTTTCCCCTCTGGCTAGAAAAAAGCCTCATTAAGAAGTAAGAATTGTTACAGAATCTTAACAAGGCTGAAGTTTCCATGACTGATGTATTTATTACAAAGAATGGATTCATTTAATGACCATGCAAATTATCTCTTTTTTTTTATTTTTACGTTTTATTTTATACTCAGCTGGTGCATCAAGTAGAGCAAGTCTAAACCCTTCAATTTTTTTGACAATGGCAATTTTATAGTTGTTGTCATATTAATAGATATAAGCAGAACTCTTCAGCTGGAAACTAGATTACACTTTAAGAAAAGTATATCAATTCTAGTTTTTTTTTCCTCACAGAATCCTACAGTTCATGCTCTTGTAATACAGAAATTTATGATACTGTCCATTTACATTATATTCTGAGGGTCTGATCCAGCTCCTGTGTAACCCTACAAGAATGCTTCCACAGAATACACTGGAGCACAAAACTACCACAAAACCGGATTCAAACATTCCCAAGCTTTGAAAAGTTTGGAACTTTTTCCAGAATTTTTACTCAAATCCATCTGCAGTTAAACTACAAAGTAATGTCTTGGTTTCATCTTAGACTGCAATGTGTATTCTAATTATGCAAAATTTTAGGAAAGAAAATTAGGCTAATAATGCCATATAAGGAGCTGTTATTATGCCAAAGAAAATACTGCATGATTTTAATTGGCAACTTATTTTAGAAAGTCTGTTGATATGTTTTGACATCAGTGAATGGTTAATTAAAATTTTATTTTATTGTTTACACTACTGTTTCTAAGATAACTGGTTAAATTTAGGAAGACAATTGTTATTGCTGTTCAGTTTTTATTTTTTTTCTTGATAGCTCAGCTCACATCTAAGACATAAATACCCACCTTGTCAGTTCTGCTAAGTGTTCTGAGTAGGATAATTTCTGAATTGCTCTGAGTTTGAATTAATTATATCAATATGAAGAAGATAGACTTGATGTATCTTTACTCACACAAATCTAAATCTTTATTCCCACAAAATATATAATATATGGATGGCTTTAAATATTATACTCTGAAGAAGGAATATAAGCAGGTAAAACTTCTTTGAAATTTCACACTCCTTGAGCAGTTTGAATTTGATACTTTAATCTGAAAGTATGAATTCTGGAAAAATCCAGACATAAGTAAGTATTTATAAGACAAATTGAGTCTAGCTGTCACAATTTTGAAAATCCTTACCTTTGCCAACAAACACAAATCTTTGACACAAAGAATAAGCATGTGGAGTGAGTAGGAGTGTTTTTCAGCCTGTTTTTGTTCTCATTCTGTTATTAAATGTTTGCAGATGACCATCAGGTTTTTTTCTAAAATTAACCAGTAGGTCCTGCTAAAATTGTTTTTTATGGCCATAATTTCACCCATGAATAAGGCTTACATTTCTGAAAACAAAGGAGCTCCAGTGATCTGTGGAAAAAAATTCTTAATACTGAATGTATTAAGGAAATAAATGCTGTAAAAGTCCCAACTAAGAAAAATGTTGTTGGCACTTTTTGTTTGTTTGTCGAATTTTGATTTTTTGGGGGTTTTTTTTGGTAGTCATTCTTCATAGCTCATATTACTATACTTAGTAGAGGCCTATCTCTCAGTTTCATCTCCCATCAGGGGTCCTATATGAGCAGCCATTTCAGATACACTGGAATGAAAAATGTGTGTTTGACATGGAGTCATTGAATAAGGATTAAAGGCATTACTCTTGTCCGGTCTACTAGCCACTAACAAAAATCTGTGGTCCTGCAGGTATACCATGTAAAGAAATGTGTCTATATCTGTTCCTGATTTTATTTAGAAACTATTGAATATTCAGAAAAGTTACTCTTTTTCACTTACAGAGAATGTCATGGCAAATCCAAAAACATGGTTTTTGATTTGAAACCATTATAATTTTGAATTATTGTACATCTACCTTGGAACCCAAAGGCAGTTGAAATGCTGTGTGATTTCATTTCTAAGACAGCATTTCTTAGAAAACTGGGCAATACATAGATGTATTAAATACAATTAATAAAATACAATTAGTGAGCAGAAGAATTCAGCAGGATTTCTCCAGTGAACAAGAAGGCAGTCAATTCACTGATTATTGTGGAGAAAAAGAGAAAAAAGTGTACTAGAATTAGGCCTAGGCCCTTTCCCTGTGAAAATTCATGAAAATAATAAATCTATAACATTAGCATTATTATGTAAGGCAATAAGATATTTCTGCTATTTTTTTTCCAGTGCAGCCAGGAAAAGTGTAAGTGGTTGCATGCAAAACCTACTAGTGGTTTTAAGTTTGTTCTAGCAGCTAGTGGGAGCTAAGTAGTACCTTCATTTTGAAGAACTCTCTGCAAAGGCTGTCCTTGCTTCTAATGTATTAGCTACCAATAACCACACAATTTTTTTCATAGTCGGTCCTGAGATTCTGTCTGCCATAGGTAGGTCTGGGTTTTTCCTCTACTCAGATAGCAGATGGAAAAAAGACCTTCATATCATAGCTGGGAAGAGTTGTTTACTGTGTCTCATGGTGCTTCATTTATATTCAGCCCAAAGTTTTGTAGGAAGAAGCTTACAATAAGATGAAACACACTTCTGTGTTGCCAAGTGTGCAAATTTGGGTACATGTACAAAGAAGGAAGGTAGATATAAAGGAAACAGGACATGAAAAGATTATAGTATTTAGGGCCAAAAAAAAAAAATGTGCTTCAAGTGATAAAATTTACTTTGGGATAGAGGTCCAGTAACCAACTTGATAGACTCGTGGCTTGCTTAAGAACTTTCTTCAAAAGTTTATAGCAGAGAAAGTGTGTGTTTGAACATGGACAAACTTTTCTCTATAAGCATCTACTTTTCATTCCTCTTCGCAGCAACACCTGTAGGGAAAAATTGCCCAAACCCCGTACATATCTGAGAACAGAATAACCTCCAAATACCAGGAAAAATAAATGTATGTAGTATTAATGCACCTTACTTTTCAGGTTTTATTTATGCACAGTGAGAAGTTAAAAAAGAAAACCTTTTAATTTCAGTTGACACTTCAATTAATGTAAAAATCTGAAGTAGCACAATTTTCTGCATTTTGGCGTTGCCCCAGCTGAAACCACAGCTACCATTCTATATATCTTGGCTTGCAGAGATTCTGGCTTTGAAATTTTTATGTCTGTTTGTGTTCTCTTGTTTTGCAGCCAGACTACCTATTTGCTTATATGGATCACCATCCTCTATTCCACTTATGATGATATGAAATGTGACAATTACTGGGTGCTGATGTAATGTCACGGACACTGAGAAAGAAACACCAAATTTTAATATTGTGAAAGAAACACCCAAACAGTAAGAGAATACTCAGGTAATAAATCAGGAAGAGGATCCCACCCAAAATTTACAGAATCAGAAATACCTTTCTAACCAGTCACAAGTGTAAAAAATTCACTAAAAAGTAGAACTCTCTTAATGACAACAACTATTATGAACCTTTTCTCTGATGCCATGCACTTTAGTGAGTAAATAGTTTGTAAGGTGCTTTGTTTCCACACTGAAAAAAATCCCAATAAAAGATACTTGTTGAAAAAAGTGCTTAGAGTGAAAAATGAAATAAATGCTTTGTTAATGAAAGTGGATTTTTATGCTATAGAGGAAGAATCCTGTTGCAATTTACTAGAATATAAAGCAAGAAAAGCTTAAAGGCTTTGATTTCACATTTCAAAATGCACCAGAATCTAATAATGACCTAATATTGTGTTTTACTTTGGAAATTGGGCCCCGCATACTTGAGGATCTTGAAGGTACTTAGTATTTCTTTGCTTAAACTTTACCAACCCAAAATACCCAGAAGAAAACATGCTTGTTTCTGCCATGAGAGATTTTTTTCTTATGCAAAGTTACTTGCATAAGTCTTGTTATCATCATATTTAACGTAGTCTGACCTTTTGTTATATATTTTGTCATTTTGATTTTAGACATATAATACTTAAAACCCATCCAAGAACTTCATTCTACATGTAAGGATCATGAAATGCATCAGCACACAGAATAATAACATCAGTTCAGAGACTAAGCAACTGCAACCATACATACAGTCACATCATTCACAGGGTGCATTGAATTTCATTATTTGACCAATACAGATCATAATGAATAAGGAAATATAAAATAGAGAGATTATTTTCACGAAGAGTAAAATGGAAAAGAATAATTAGGGCCCTTACTTTGCCAAATATTAATCTGCAGCAAAAGGGTCAGCAAACTAAAGGAAAAAAAAAAGTAATTTTTCCATAAGCAACATGATACAGTATGTGATATATTTACAGCAGGATGTGAATGTTTGAGGCTATAAGTTTATAATGGGGAGATCATTTCTCCTTCTCCACTGATATAGTATTTCAAACAGTGGATTATAATTTTTGGATAGTGTTCAAAATGTACAAAATTCAAAGACTGATGACATAAGTTCACTTCATCTATGGTTTCATTTAATAGGCCCTGGTTGTATATTTTTTTATATATATAACTATAAGCTAGTTCAGTTTACAGAAAATGTACCCCATTTGCAGTTTCTTGACTTTACAAATGAGCTATTGTACTTTTGTTAGAGTATGAGCATCTTTTTGTGTGTACCTATCTATATAAAAATATATTCATATTTATCTTAAAACACTCATTGTTTTAAATTTTAATCATAATCTAACAATAGTCATAATCATAATTTAATCATAACTGCAAAGTGCTTAGAGTTTCAAATGTTTTCCTGAGTGCTGCAGAAATAAAACCAGAGAAGTTATAGCAATGTTTAGCAGAGATCAAATGCTTAAACGTACAGTGTTTCATTTTGCTATGATAATCCTTTGAAATATCTCATATCTTCAAACCGGTATAAATGCTCCTAAAAAAGAAAAAAAAAAATAGGAGGATATAAGTTCAAGGATAAAAAAGAGCAGAATGAGATGACTCTGTCTGATTCATATGTGCCTCTTATCCATCATGCACACAGAGACTACACCTTTATCATTTAGTTCCTACCACAATTTGGAACATACCACAAATGCATATCTCTGCTTTTGGTGCTTGCTTGCTCCAAATCTCACATACTCTGGATACTTCATCCAGGACAGTTCCTGGAAGCTTACTCAAAGAATTCTCTTCTTATGTTGTTACAGTCTGGCTTATGTTCCACATGAAAAAATATAGGACTTGCACTGGGAAAAGACTTCAGTTTGATTCCTAATGAGAAGAATTGACTTGTCAAAACTATACATGCAGATCTAAAACTACATCTACAGGGCTTGAGAAGGTCATAGGATCATATAACGGTTTCGGTTGGAAGGGAGCTTAAACGGATATCTAGTTACAAACCCCCCTGCCATGAGGGGGGCACCTTCCACTAGACCAGGCAGTTCAGAACCTCATCTAATCTGGCCTTGAACACCTTCAGGAGCAAGACAGCCATAACTTCTCTGGGAAACCTGTTTCAGTGTCTCACCATCCTGACAGTGAATATTTTTTTTCCTAATAGCTAATCTAAACCTACTCTCTTCCAGGTTAAAGCCATTCCCTCTTGTCCTGTCACCACACGCTCTTGTAAAATGTACCTCTTCCTCTTCCTTGTAGACTCCCACTAGGTAGTGGAAGGCCATAATTAGGTCACCTTCTCTTTCCCAGGCTGAGCAATCCCAATTCTCTTAGCCATTCCTCACAGCAGAGCTGCTCCATCCATCTAATCAACTTGGTATACCTCCTCTGGATTAACTCCAACAGGTCAATGTCCTTTTGGTGCTCACAATTTTTCAAAAAAATACATTGAAAGCTTTTGCTTCCTGGGTCCCTATCCTGCTGTCCATATATGTCCATATGTCAAGAGGTGTGGAAAGAGAGATTGTCATTGAAGACTGAGGCAAAAAGGTTGTTGAGTACTTCAGCCTTCTTCTCATCTGTGGTGTCCATTTTTCCAGCATTGATTATCAGGAGAGTTACTTTCTTTGACCTTCCTTTTTCTTTTTATTTAACATACCTGTAAATACCATTATTCTTTGCATCACATGTCAGGTTCAGTACCAGCTTCACCTTGGTCTTAGTCACCCCATTCCTACACAACCAAACTTCATCTCTACACTCTTCCCAGGTCACCTGTCCTAGTTTCCTCAGCCTATGCAGTTGCTTCTTTCCCTTTAGTTTGATGAGCAGACCCCTACTTGTCCAAGCCAGTCCTGTGTGTTAAGAAAGCCTTAATGTTTTACCATATGTGGGCAGTCTTATATGCAATGACATTTCACAGAAAACACAATAGATTTACTTATGTTTAATCTCTCTTTTGAAAAGATAAGTGATTTACCTCTGTACTTATCCAAACGTTTTGGTGCCTTTCTAAAGAGCTCCAGCTATTGGAATCATTCTTTTGAGAATATCAGTTTTTGTCAGAATAGAAGACTAGTTCCCCCCAGATTGTTAGAGTTGGAGGAAACACTTGAAAGCTTAGGGTAGGTATTTTAAAAATCCTACAACGTATACATCAATTTAATTAATTGAAGGACTGCTCACTTTTACTGGGAAATGAATGTTCAGCCTGAGTTCACTGTTGATTTGTAAATTCTCTTTTGCATGTTCTGTACATTTTTTATCCTGAAGCAGACTGTATGTTTCTTGCTGAGTTAGAGGAATATTACCACTTTGAATCAGTTTATTAGCACTCTGAAAATGAGATGCCATTATAAAGACGAGTGGCAAATGGAAATACTGACATGCCTGTATCTCAGTCCTTAATTTCCTGGACATTTTGAAAGAGGAGAGTAAGAAGCAGTTGGATACTAAGTAAAAGTTTAAGAGGAGAAAATTCACTATCATTAAAAACACAAAAATGTTTTAATATGCAATATAAACTGGAAAAGTAGAATTATTTTCCTTTAGAATACACAGTCTGTATAAATGGAAAATCAAGTCAGTTTCAAGACTGTGCTACTTCTAAACAGTAAGACAGTCATCAATTTAGTTTCAACAACCTCTCCTGAGACAGAAAAAATCTGAAATAAAAAATACAGCTTTTGATTCAAAATCATAGTATTTAGAACCTGGGAAGGAAGAATTTTAAATCACAAGTGACACAGAAGCATTCATTTATGTTGATTTCTTTTATTTTGCTTTATTTGGTTTTTTTAACTGCCCAGTATGACTTTAGCTGCTGCTTTTATCTACAGAAAAACCAAATCAGAAAGGAAAATATTTTAGCTGCCAATAGAAGGAATTCCTTAAAGGGTAGTAAACAATAAAGATGCCCAAATTCCCAGTTCTACTAAGTGACGCACCTTTTCTCTTATCAGTGGGACCAGTAAGTATGAAATGATTAGAAATCAAGGCTTTTAGTAAAGAGTTTCAGAGAAGCTTCCCACCTTCAGCCATGTGCATTTCAGGGTTTTGAGGTTTTACCTTCATAAAAAGATGTTTTATCTTTCTTCTTTTTGGCCTTGTGCTCCTTATGATTAGCAAATGTATTTCCTCTTTGTGGCATCCCTAAAGGCAGCCAAGACCTCTCACAAAGTTTCTTGCAGAGCTCACTAATATGTAGGCTATACCGGTCTCAATGCTTTTTATAGCTGATCTTAAGAAAAAGAACAGAAGATATTTCACAAAATAATCAGTAGCCCATTGCATTAGTGTATTTACAAATGTAAATTCTTAGCACCTAATGTTTCCTGCTATGCATCTTATCAGACAGCAGTTTACTAAGGTCCTGAACCAGTGACATGGCACAGCAAAGACAGAGACTTGATCTGGGGAAACTGCTCTGTTCCCAGGCCCTGGACTAATAGAGGTGGGAGTGTGTAAAAAGCACTTTGCTTGGGGGAAGGAGCAAGAGGCATTACGAAGCAGATGCTCTCAATCTCTAAAAGAAAGCTGCCATAATCAGTATACAGCATTCTCTCAGTCAATCCAAGGCTTTACGGGGGGCGGGGGGAAGCTCAACAAAGTTCTTTTACATCAGTGTATGAAAGTAAGAGGATTGTCAAACTAGATAGGCAGGAGTCTATCACACTAAAATTTATTATTCAAGTTTAAAGTAAAGCTTTGTTTAGGTTTTAATGAAAGCAAGAGAATTTTAACAACAGAAGTACTGTTCTTTCTTTCTCTCCCTTTCCACATTCAATTCCTCTACCCCTGCACCTGCTTCCAGTTTTGGCTTCTTGGCAGTGACGCTTAAAGAGACATCAGCTGGCAGTGGCAAACTGTTAAAAGCTTCCCTGCAATGCAGCTTTGCAAATGCCAGCCATTTATTCACTGGTGCATGCCAGCTTAACACAAGGTTTCTTTTCCTCTCGCTTCTCTGCTCTCAGGTTTCAGTTCCAAACAACAGTAAGCAGT